CTGCGGCAGTGCAAAAGTAAGGGTGACAATACAATACCCTTATGACCCCTTTTTGGGTTGGGACCCCCAGTTTGAGAAATGCTGCTATAGGATAAAAGTACACAAAAGACCAGATTTTACAGGGGAGACCAGATTTCATGGTTTGTGACATGTTTTTCACGGCTGTGAATTTCATAGGGTCCTATTTATACCGGTCCGAGATAGGGCTAAAACATTACCAGATGGGAATGGTGATGCCGTTTTGAACCCATGTTGCCTTGGTGCAAATGCCTGCACAAGGATATGGATAAATCGGATACAAGTCTCCCGCTTAAAGGGATGGCGTGCTACCATCCATAAATGGTATCAGACGCTGTGAGTGGTTGAGAAAAGAAACGTTAAGCCAGTTGGCAGAGAAACACACGCAAGGAGAAATGACACGCTGTATCTAAATCAGAGATTTCAAAGCCTGGATCCCTCTGCAGTTTGATCTTTAAAATATTAAAACACGCCAGCTGCCAGCTGAAAGGGCTTTGTAATGAGATTATGAAGACGATGGGAATACAACATCAATGCCAATTAAATGGACTAAATTAGGTTCCTTCCTAGCGAACTTGGAACCTGGACTTTATCCCATCCAAGAGGAGACAGAGAAACCCAGCCTATGTCGACAGATGAATTATCCCCAGACTGATTTACGTTATTAGTCTTTGAGGTCTCTTGAAATATTTTATTCCAAACTGACAATCAGACAAAACACAGCTCTTTCATTCCTCATTCGGTATAAAAAGAGGTGACGGATAGCTCAGGTTTTGGCAAAGGGTTATGTTGTCTTTGACTAGATCATTGGAGAGCTCAGTGAGTAACAGAGTTTTCTGTTCACTGGCAATTTTGAAAAGTCAAAACAAAAAATCATTTCAGGTCGGCCTTTTTAAAAAAATATTTTGGCCAATTGAAAAGTGGCGGGGGGGGGGGAATTCATTTTTGGGTCGAATGAAATATTTTGTTTTGACAATATCAAAATGTGCTTTCATTTTTTGAATTTTTAAAAACTCAAGGACATTTTGAAACTAAAAGTTGTTTGAGATGAAAAAATGTAAGTGTTTTTTGGATTTTTGTTCCCCCAAATGAGCAAATGGGCAATAGCAACATGAATTCATAAAACATGCTGGTGTTGCCAAATCTGTGTTTCTCACCGGGGGGAAAAAAAGTTTCTGCTAACAAATTTTGCTGAGAGCTAATCATTGGCTCCAATCCGGCATCGTAGTGGCTGTAGTAGGTCATTGCCATCGGGTGTGTGCCTTGGCTTGGTGTTACAGGAGAGCTGTTAGAACTGTACGTGTGGAGACGGTTAATATAAAGAGTGCCATCTACCTTCAGGAATAGCAGCATTGGTCAGAAGTTAGTAGCTTTTAGGGTGACCAGACAGCAAGTGTGAAAAATTGGGAAGGGGTGGGGGGAATAAGTGCCTATATAAGACAAAGCCCCAAATATCAGGACTGTCCCTATAAAATTGGGACATCTGCTCACCCTAGTACAGTGGTCACCAACCGGTAGATCGTGATTGACTGGTCGATTGTGGAGCCTTTGCCAGTCGATCACGGTATCCGGCCCCTAAAAAGCTGGCGATGCAGCTCATGGAAGTGGCCAGCAACACGTCCCTGTGGGAGAGGGGAACAGGGGGTCTCTGTGCGCTGCTCCTGCCTGCGGGTACCGCCCTCGCAGCTCCCATTGGCTGGGAATGGGTAACTGCAGCCAATGGGAGCTGCAGGGGCGGTGCCTGCAGGGAGGGACAGTGCTCGGAGCCACATGCCCCACCCCAGGGGCCACAGGGACATGCTGGCCACTTCTGGGAGCGGCGTGGACCGGGGCAAGCAGGGAGCCTGCCTTAGCACCGCTGCGCTGCCGACTGAGGTAAGCACCGCCTGGCGGACGCCCGCACCCTTAGCCCCTTCCAACACCCTGCCCCACCCCTGAGCATCCTCCCGGAGCCAGCACCCCAAATCCACTCCTGCACCCCAACCCCTTGCCCCAGCCCTAGGCCCCCTTCCAGAGCCCACACCCCGAACCCTCTCCTGCACTCCAACTCCCTGCCCCAACCCAGAGCCCCCTTATGCACCCAAACTGCCTCCCAGAGCATGAACCCCTCACCCTCTCGTGCACCCCAACCCCCTGCCCCAGGCTCAGCCTGGAGCCCACTCCCACACTCCAAACCCCTCGGCCTCAGCCCATAGACCACATTTCCTCCAGCACCCCAACCCCCTGCCCCAGCCTGGTGAAAGTGAGTGAGGGTGCGGGAGAGCCAGTGACAGAGGGAGGGGGGATGGAGTGAGTGGGGTGGGGCCTCGCGGACGGGGAAGGGTGGCTCCTGGGTTGCACTTAAATTCAAAAAGTAATCTTGTGCTTAAAAAGGTTGGAAACCTCTGCCCTAGTAGCTTTGATAAAGTTATTGCTGTTATGCGCTGCTAGTGGCGGCCTGAATCCAGCTCTTAACATTTGGTGCGATTGCTGACAGCCTGAGCAGAGAGGCTGGGGACTCCATAGGCCATGGACACCAAACTCCCCCTCGTGATAGTACTGTAAAGAAACACAGGGCAGCAACATAGTTCTGACACCTTTCCTACGCACCAACTTTGTTCCCAAATGTCAAAGAAAACAGATACACAAGCCCTTTTTCTAGGTCTCTGGAATTTTTCTGTCTCATTCCACTCAGTGGGCCTTTCATTTACTTGGGAAAGTGTTTTAGTGATTCTCTCCATTCTGCTGCGGCTCTTTTCTTTTCTTTTCTTTTCTTTTCTTTTCTTTTCTTTTCTCAAGTTGATCTGCTTAAGGACACTGAACTCCTGCTTCAGGAAAGAGACTGAAGCTTTTATAAAGGTTGCCCAGCAGGAGAGTTCCTTGCCGCCCCATGCTTCAGACACCGACGTGAACAGATTAACAAAAGTAGACTGCTCAAGAAATGATACAAGCTATTATTTGCCTCCAAAACACGCAACAGACACAGCAAAAATCTTAGGTTTTGGTAGATGGAGAACTTCGCTGGCAGACCAGATCTTTCATGGCAGTTAAAAATGTTAAAGAAAGAATATATTTATGGTTTCAGAGTAGCAGCCGTGTTAGTCTGTATCCGCAAAAAGAACAGGAGTACTTGTGGCACCTTATATGCATCCGAAGAAGTGGGCTGTAGCCCACGAAAGCTT